GATGGAATGCATTATCAATGCATCTTTCTGCATCATCATATCAAACCGAACCATGAGACCAGGCCAGGGTAGGTCACCACACCCCTAATGCCGAGACATCTTTACCCTGTTCAGAGGGTATTTTCTAGTCCTCCTTTTAATTTGTCTTTCATGAATGACCAACCTTTTCAAGGGGACTGGCATGAGCTAGTGGCATTACAATATGCTCCGGCTGCTCGATTTTGGGAAAAATCATAATCATGATTATTTTGGTCATAATTGTAATCACGATTATTCAAAACGATTATCAGTTGAAGTCAAAATTATTAACGCTCCTGAGAATTAAAAAAAAAAAAAAAATTTCCCAAAAAGATGTTTAACAGAGCAAAAAATTTTAAAAGTATTTCCTATAACATTTTTTCCTCTAGGCTTATTTGTTTTATTCTGGCTAGAATAAAAGCAGTTTTAAATATTTTGAAACCCATTTTAAGGTCAATATTATTAGCTCCCTTAAGCAATATATATTTTTGATTGTCTGCAGAAGTAACTACTGTTATACAATGACTTGCCTAATTACCCTAATTAAGCCTTTGAATTGCTCTTTAATCTGAATGCTTGTATTTTGTACTGTCGTCATTGCAAAGATAAACGAAATCAGTAATTAGAAAGGAGACATCAAAACTATTATGTTCAGAAATAAAAAAATCTTCTTTCCATTAAGGAGGAATGGGCGGAAAAATGGGAGGAAAAGGGCTGCTAATATTCAGGAGGGCTAATAATTCTGACTTCAACTGCATATATACAGTTATTTTCCACAAAGATAAGAGAAATAAATACAATAGAATAAAAATATGAAACAAACTGTTTTAAGCATCTTCACCGTAAGAAAAACACTTTAGCTACAAAAGTCCTTAAGTCTAATGGTTTCGCTTTCACGTGTCTTTTGATTCTCAACTCGTTTGTTTATTACACAAATGAGGGTCAATATGAATAATTACTAAACACCGCGTTTTGACACCTATTTGACTATTAAAGCGCTCACGTTACTGACTTTGGATGTGTGCGCTCTGGTTGTCTGTGTGCTCGAATGAGATTGAATGCTGACTGCATGCTTCTGTGTGTGCACGCCACACACACACGAAGCGGTCTTTCGCACTTTTAAGAGCAACAATGTGTACAACTGGAAAGGGGGCGGTATATGATGCAGTAATCATTTATGTCGATTAATGGTTTTTCATAATCGTTAGATGCTAAAATCGAAATCGGATTTTCGATTAATTCCACAGCCCTACAATGCAATATTCTAGAAATCGCAGATTTGAAATGACAAACTTCTCTTGCTATGGCTGAAAGGGTCCCTTTGGCCTTCATCTGGACAACATTTCCCGGGAGTCCCCCATATTTCAGACACATCTCCCGCCACCAAATTTAACACCCCCTGGTCGTCAACTTTAGTGTAGTATCTGATCGCCGTGTCGCCAGAAACCCAGTCCATAGTACAGTCATCAATATTACAACATCACTACGCACCCCCCACCCCCCCCCCCCCCCCCCCACTCTTTCTACAAAGAGCTGTAGTTTACTAAGAAACTGTTTATATTAATGAACTATTATCTTTGATTTAAATATTGCATGATTACATCGCATATTGTAATGCATGTTGTGACACCGTTGCCAGGAAAAAAAATACAGTAGAACTCAATGGGTACTGGTTTCCTACATTGTTCAAAATATCTTTTTTTTGTTCAATAGCAGTCACGTATGAAGGATTAGTAACTTATGACAATTCACCTATCCCTTTCATATATGATTCACCTATCCCTTTCATACCAATAGCTGGGCCGTTTCAGAAAGTTTTCACAAATTTGGATCCTGTCTTTTTCAAACTTTTTTTTTTAAAGTATGCTGTGCTTTAGAATGTATGTAATTCATAAAGACTCAGAAACATTTGAATGGCTGTGAATGGAGAGACATGATTGGTTTTTTTTGGCAAAGGATGATATAGTACAATAATAGCATCTATCAGCAGGAGCTAACCGGACCATGCTAATCAACCAAACCTTGACCTCTTCTTCAGCTCGCCAAAGCAAATATGTCAAAACGAATTGCACAGCGATGACACTGATAAAAGTGCTCTCTGTGTCAGCAGCACCTTCAATACAGTGTCAATCATGCCCCCATATATACCGTGACAGCACTACTCCGGTGAGAAGCTGAGACAGCTAATCAGGAGAGAGCAGCCCCTTTTCTCATACGCCACTAATTTCATCAGCCCTAATCCGCTCTCTGCGCAGAAGAGCGTTTTTTTAAATAATCGGAGTGCCGCTGGTATTAGTGTCTCTGTGCTTTAAACGCTTGCGTGATTTCATGAAATCCCCCTGCTGTTCAGACACTGATTGGAGAGAAACATAAGCATGGGCTGGCTGATGACATCCGACCTGAATTCTCTTTCTGTCTGTGACTTTCTCTCACTCCTAACAGCTGTTTCAAGCTCGAGGCTCCCACTGACCCCATATTTAACCCGGTGGACCTCGGAAATGCTTGTAGCCATGTTAACTTTGCCCTCTGCCCCAAATAAACAAACAGTCGGTGACAGGAAAGCGGCAAAGGTTGCTGTAGCGCTTCTGTGTGTGTATTAGATTGGATGATGGTATTACATTTGCCTCCAGCAGCTGTGTGGCTGGTCAGTTGGGTTGTAATTCTTAAAACATCTGTCTATGTTGTAGCTGGTCTAATCACACACAAAAAAGCTTGTGTGTGCAATTTCTGCTAACGGGCGCAAGTGGATTTGCAAAAATAATGATAATGGTCTCCCAGACAACCCTTATCAGCCCTTCCACCACCTCCCTGTCTGCTATTGTTTAGTTTGAAACTCACTCAGCACTATTGGTTCACCCAATTGTTGACATGTTATTGATGCTGCCAAACACAGCAATATTTTTTGAGTGAGTTCATTAAATATAGGCGGCTGTTTTTACAATGATTTTTGCTGTGATTTGATATTTTCCATAATTTAACAAACATGTGAACATTATATAATATAATACTATTTTATAATATTGTGCAAGTTAAATTTAATTTAAATAAATTTATACTATTGTTCATATAATTGTTTCTATATATATATATATATATATATATATATATATATATATATATATATATATATATATATATATATATATATATATATATTCAACAGAAGATGCAGTAAAAGGCAGTCTCATAACAATGTACTTTTTAAATTTTCTATTCATTAAAGAATCACCACAGCTTCCACAAAAAAGTGAATCAGCAAAGCTATTTTAAGCACCAATAATAAGAAATAATTAAAATGATTTTTGAAAGGTCAGGCAACACTACACATCACCTCCTGGAAATCACACAATTTAGTAATAAATAAAAATATCTACACTAAAATGTCACACAGATCCCAACTTTTTGAACTGTAGTGTACAAAGACTGGCCACTTTATTAGGTACACCTTACTAGTACTAGGTTGGACATCCTTTTGCCTTCAGAACTGCCTTAGTCCTTCATGGCATATATTCAAGAAGGTACAGGAAATATTTATCAGAGATTTTGGTCCATATTGACATGATAACATCATGCAGTTGCTACACATTTGTTGGCTGCACATTATGCAAATCTCCCGTTCCACCACATCCTTAAAGGTGCTCTATTGAATTGAGAGATCTGGTGACTGTGGAGGCCATTTGAGTACAGTGAACTCATTGTCATGTTCAAAAACCCGTCTAAGATGATTCTCACTTTATGACATGGTGTGTTATCCTGCTGAAAGCAGCTATCAGTAGATGGGTACACTATGGTTATAAAGGGATGGAACATGGTCAGCAAAAATAATCAGTTAGGCTGTGGCATTGACACGATGCTCAATTGCTACTAATGGGTCCAAAGAGCGCCAAGAAAATATCCCCCACACCATTAAATCACCACCACCAGCCTGAACTGTTGATACAAGGCAGGATGGATCCATGCTTTCATGTTGTTGATGCCAAATTCGGACCCAACCATACAAATGTCACAGTAGAAATCAAGACTCATCAGACCAGGCAACCAATCTTCTATTGTCCAATTTTGGTAAGCCTGTGCAAATTGTAGACTCAGTTTCCTATTCTTAGCTGACAGGAGTGGCACCCGATGTGATCTTATGTTGCTGTAGTCTAACTGCCTCAAGGTTAGAAGTGTTGTGCATTCAGAGTTGCTCTTCTGCATACCTCGGTTGTAACGAGTGGTTTTTTTGAGTTACTGTTGCTTTCTATCAGCTGGAACCAGTCTGGCCATTCTCCTCTAACCTCTGGCATCAACAAAGCATTTGTGCTCACAAAACTACTAATCACTGGATATTTTCTCTTTTTCGAACCATTCTCTGTAAATCCTAGTGATGGTTGTGTGTGAAAATCCCCGTAGATCAGCAGTTTCTAAAAAATACAAAGACCAGCCTGTCTGGCACCAACAACCATGCCAAGTCACTTAAATAACTTTTCCTCCCCATTTTGATGCTCGATTTGAACTGCAGCAGATCATCTTGACCATGTCTACATCCCTAAATGCATTCAGTTGCAGCCATGTGATTGGCTGATTAGAAATTTGCATTAACGAGCAGTTAAACAGGTGTACCCAATAAACTGACCAGTGAGTGTAAATGTATTGATATATTATACTAAAGTAGGTTTTTTTTAATGTTTTCTTTTTAAAATATATATTTTTTTTAATTTAATACTAATGTGATATTATTTATGTCAACTAATTAGGGAATTAATGTAATTAAGTTGATCAATGTAATATTTAAAAACTTGTTTAAACAGAGATATTTTTTTGACATTATAATTTGCAGAACACATCCAAAACCTTTTAGGTCTAAAGCTAAGCACATCTGTACTAAACAACATATTACATAATAATTTAAAAATACACCTTCTTTCAGAATGTCATGTAAACATTTCAGCTCGACTGAATCCTGAGTAATCAGATCTCCTTTAATTTTGTGATGTGTGCAGGTGCTGGATCTGATCTCTAGCGATAACCTGAATGTCCCATCAGAGGAGGAGGTGTACAGGGCTGTGCTGAGCTGGGTCAAGCATGACATTGATGGGCGGAGGCAACACGTGCCGCGGGTGGGTGCGATTCTGCCTGTCAAAATGCGCTTTTAGCAACATCACCGTGAATCACAGGATTAATGCTTACAAAGGATTATGTGCCTGCAACTCGATACTCGTTTCTGTATTCCCATCCTTTGTATTCTCTGATCCTTTCTACACACACACACACACACACACACACACACACACACACACACACATCTTACCTCTTACTATTTCCATCCACGTCTCTTTAGCTGATGAAGTGTGTGCGTCTGCCCCTGCTTACACGGGACTTCCTGATGAGTAACGTGGATACGGAGCTGCTGGTACGTCACCACTCTGAGTGCAAAGACCTGCTGATCGAGGCGCTGAAGTATCACCTGATGCCCGAGCAGAGGGGTGTGCTCAGTAACAGTCGTACACGACCACGCCGCTGCGAAGGAGCCAGCCCAGTTCTGTTTGCCGTAGGTCTGTAAAATTACAAAAAAATACACACATGCACCTGTCTGTTATGTTGTGAGCTTGAATTAAAGGTGACATAATATGCCCCCTTTCTAGTAAATATGTAGATTAAGGGGTGGGAATATATAGTAAGGTCACCTTCCTCTGTCACAAGGGGCTCAAAATCAGAATTTTGTGTTTTTCCTATTGCATGCAGAAAAGGTCTTACTAAAACAAAGTTGTCCCAAAGTTGATAGGTTGTCCCTTTTTGTTAATAGATAAACCAGATACCTGATTATAGCACTTAAAGATGAAAAAAAATCCATATTTTCATGATATACAACCTTTAAATGTCACATTCCTGTGTGTCTTTCAGGTGGGGGCAGTCTTTTTGCTATTCATGGAGACTGTGAGGCCTATGATACCAGGACAGACCGCTGGCACATGGTTGCATCCATGTCAACACGGCGGGCTCGAGTCGGAGTGGCCGCCATTGGAAACAAGCTCTATGCTGTGGGCGGGTATGCAGAGCTTAAAGCATTGTTTTTGGCAGACCAGTAACTGCTATTTTCTTTTTTTACACCAAACTGAAGACTTTATGGGTATCTTTTGAAAAGAGTGTAATGAGGGGCATCAATAGCTATGTTTCTATCCAAAGTTGTGAATAAGGTTAGACACTGCAGGGGTATTTTTTTGGGCATCTCTCTCATCTATCTTTTTGGCAAATCAATCATTCAATCAATCCATCCATCCATCACAGTGGGATTTATTGCATATGTTATTCAAATATAATGTGCCTGATTAAATATAATATTTTACAAAAATGATCTGATTTTTGTGAACATCATCTGGTGCAGTGCTGGGAGGGCATAACCAAATAAATGCAATGACAGACTTTAGGCCAAGGCAGTTCTGAAACACTAAAATAAAACCTGAGGTGTGGTGTACCTGCTGGGTAGTCCATTTAGCCTTTCACATGATCTGTTGAGACAACATCATGCTTTTGATAAGCATGTATTTGATGAATGTGTTTCCATTTTATATTTGCCTAGCATTTTGATGCATTAAAATATTTTAATAATTTTTTGGGGGCATTTTCATCCAGTAATATTCCAAAATGTGCACGAAATATGTGGATGAAAACATATCAAATGTGAGTGCATAAAAATTGGCAAACTTGCAATTGAAGTTAAAACTATTACATGAAAAGTTTAAATTGTAAAAACCCATCTTCATCACAGTTTCAATAAATATGTCATGTTCAACTTTTTCATATTTTCTTGTTTTAATAAGTATGAAGTTATTTTTTTTAAATGTCATAAATTAAAGTTTGATCTTCTAAATATGGCTTAAGTCGCAATCATGTTAGAAAAAAAAATCCTTTAATTGACATTTTGTGTGACATTTTGTGTGAAATTCACAAATCTGTGTGGTGAACTTTTTCACTGTTGTGCAGAACACCTGATTGTGCAAATTCCTAGAAACATGACTGAAATCAACTGTGATTTTTTTTTCCATATTCAGTTACAATTTGTACCAATTTTTTCTTGTAGGTAAAAAATGGTCTTTCATAGAATTTTTTTTTTTAGGTATGCTAAAAGCATGAGTACAGTAGAATTAAAGAAATGCAGAAGGCACATAAGTGGAACAGCCCTCAACTGAATAAAGCAGCCCAAGATGCAAATAAGTGTACATACACAGGATCAAAAGATAGCCCAGAATTGATTAGTTCATTACAAAAGGAACAGAATGTGCAGGCAGCCACAGTTTCCTTAAGATTACCACGCTGAGTCAATCAAGTGGTTACCTAAGATTAGTTAGGAAATGTGTCAGTTGTGGAGTAATGGATTTCAATGAATAGCAACGATCTTGTCTTTACTTGCTCGACAAAGACATAAGTGAAAGATCTATTGTTCCTGTTTGTCTCTTCTCTTGCCTTTCTTTAACCAGGTATGATGGCACTTCGGATTTGGCAACTGTAGAGTCGTATGACCCAGTCACTAATGCGTGGCAACCTGAGGTGTCCATGGGAACGAGGAGGAGCTGTTTAGGTGTGGCGGTTCTGCATGGGCTGCTGTATGCGGCAGGAGGATATGATGGTGCTTCCTGTCTCAACAGGTTTACTATTCTTTTAAATAACTTCAAATCACACGGTACAATAATAAATACAGATAAAACCTTATGTACTTTATATATGCATATATACTAGTGGTGTAATGGATCACATCTCACGGTTCGGATCACATTATGATATTTTAGTCACGGATCTGACCATTTTTCGGATCAGCAAAAAAGGGAGGAGACAAATGTCATTTGTTTTCTATTTATTACAAAAACAGCACTGCAAGACACTTTTGGTTTTAACAAACAGAACTTAGAACCTGTAACTTTATTAAAAAGAAAATGAAGAAATAATCAGCTGAATAAAAATAATAGCTAGATGTGTCATTTTTTGAGGAATTATTTAGTGGCATATTTTGCTGGCTGGTTGTCGCTACCTATTGATTAAATAATGTAATTGCTGCCTACAACTTTCATTTTTGAGCGTCGTTAAATGACGGTGATTGTAATCTTTACCATAAACATCAGTGGTTTTATCTAATCTATAAACTGTTATCCCAGTACTTTTGTGTTATTTGACTGTTTGTAACTTCATAACTAACTTAAAAGACTAAAGACTGAATCTCTTTCTTGAGGTTTGTGTTTTCAGATTTGAATGCAGCGATTCAAAAGATTAATAAACATATGCAAATTACCATCATTTATAATTTATGCTGCGTGGTTGTTGAGATCTTGATCTTTTAATGATAAATTGTGCAGCTTACAATAAATGCATTGATGCAGGCGAAACAAGTGGTGACAGAAAACACCTTTAATGAAACCCTCCACATCCCAAATAACCTACTAAACTTCTTCAGTCATAATTATATTTTACAGGAAAGCCTAAATGCTTTCATACATGTGACTTGAATGTCACAAGAGCATTCTCTCTGTGATTGTTACAAATTTAGGATTAATCTACCTGTAAAATACCATTGGCACAACTATGGATTGTGATCCAAACGAATCACAGATCAAACCATATCCGTTACACCCCTTATATATATATATATATATATATATATATATATATATATATATATTAGTGCTGTCAATCGATTAAAAATTTTTACTAATTAATTGCACTTCTTTGTATTAATCGTGATTAATCGCATTTAAAAAACTGAAACTTGTAATTTTGGCTATTCAAATGTAAAATTTATGTAAACGCAAGACAAAAATTTAAATTTAAAATATAATTGTTTATTAGATTTTTTGTTTAACTCGTAACACAGATTTCTTCATGTAAACAACATACCCACAATAAAGCATCAAGATCCTGGCTTGACAGCCATATTTATTACAGAAATTAAAACACAGGCATGTTAATGACATTTGAATTTCAAAACAATCAATGCCAATAAAGTAAACAATGATTTCCAAGTTGGATTCCAAGTGGACTGCAAAAAAATGTCAAAATACAGGCATTACAGATATGGAAAATAATAATAATAATAATAACAATAATAATAAAAATAAAGTATTGAATACAAACAATTGCACTCATTGTAAAGTTGTATTGCTGTGAGTTGAGAACATTAATTATAAAGTAGAAACAATTTTGCTCAGTCCTCCTTTACATTCATCCAGATGCTAAGACAGTCCAGTCCAGACATCCCAAGTCTCCCAGAAGTTGCAGGAGTATCTCGCAAATGCACAGAGAATCCCAGATGCCCGCAAATGAATGAAAGTCTCCCGGAAAATTCATGTCTCCCGCCCGGTCCTTAAATATGTTGCACACCCCTCTCCACCGCATACCTCCTAGCTCTTCAGGTACATCGCGCGCAACTCACCCCCACCGCTCTTCAGGTACATTGCGCGCAACTCACCCCCACCGCTCTGCAGGTACATCGCGTGCACACGCCCCCACCGCTCTTCAGGTACGTCTCCCGCGCACACGCCCCTACTCAGATACGTCACTCATTAAACCCCTGACAGACACAGACAGACAGACAGACAGACAGACACACACAACGCGCCGGAGCGACTCTCTTCAGATTCAACACGCATGATCGCTCTGTATAGCCTGGTGATGCGACATTAATTGTTTTATACTGAAACTTGCCTTCAAAAAGTGCTTCCTTGGTCTTACCCATATTTTTTTGCATGTTGAACACAACCACCACAACAGAAAGTAAAAAAAAATCCTGCAACTGCGTTATTTGTTTTTACGCGTTAAATATTTCAAATTAATCGCATGCGTTAACGCACTAATTTTGACAGCACTAATATATATATACATATATATATATATATATATATATATATATATATATATATATATATATATATATATATATATATATATATATAAAATATATATATATAATTTGACATTTCTCTCCTCCTTTATCTACAGTGCAGAAAGGTATGACCCACTGACCAGTACCTGGACCTCCATCGCTGCCATGAGCACCAGGAGGAGATATGTCCGAGTGGCCACATTAGGTAAATACCAATCTAATTATAACTGTTTACACTTTTCTCTGTACTTTAACCCTTCCTTTATGTAGGGTTTCTGCTAGTCAAATGTAAGATCTTTTAGACCTTTTTCAAGACCATTATGAATGACTTCTATGGGGCAAAATGCTAAGGATTTTGAAATGTTATTGTAATAAGAAAAATTAAACCATCTTGGTAAACCTAATTCATAATGTAACCTTTTGCTACAAGCTTTAAGATGGATTGCTGGTGATTGGATGAATGTTGCCATGCTTGGATACATTTATATAGACATACAGTAGTTAATATACATTTTAAAATGACAAACTACAACACAACATTTCAGATAATATTTAAGACTTTTTTAAGGGCTAAAATCTTATTTTTGAAATGTAAGACATTTTAAGACTGTGGAGACACCGTTCATATTTTAGCCAGTTGAAATGTTCTCTGTGGTTGCACTATACTGCAAACACATGCCTATTTCACATATTTCTCTTTCAGATGGCAGTTTGTATGCAGTCGGTGGGTACGACAGCTCTTCACACTTAGCAACAGTAGAAAAATACGACCCTCAGGTAGGTGAAACATTTCTCTCTGACATGCCGAAAACATCTTCAGGATGTGTTTTTTTGTTTTCTCTCCATGGTTAACTGACTAAATATGTATTTTACAGAGTAATGCATGGACTGCCATTGCCAACATGTTAAGCAGGAGAAGCAGTGCAGGAGTGGCTGTACTGGAAGGCATGCTTTATGTTGCGGGTGGCAATGATGGTACCAGCTGCCTAAATTCGGTGGAACGATACAATCCCAAAACCAACACGTGGGAAGGAGTGGCTCCTATGAACATCCGCAGGTTCGATTGTGACTTTATCAATTCATTAATTTTCCAGCCGCAACCCATCTCTGGGAAACATCCATACACACTTATTCACACTCATACACTACGGACAATTTAGCTAACCCAACTCACCTGTAACGCATGTCTTTGGACTGTGGGGGAAACTGGAGCACCCGGAGAAAACCCATGCGAACGTGGGGAGAACATGCAAATTCCACACAGAAACGCCAACTAGACCCACCAGAGGCTCAAACCATTGACCTTCTTGTTGTGAGGCGGCAGTACTACCTACTGCGCCACTGCATCGCCATTTACCGTAACTTAAACGGCCTATTAAAAACGGAATGACGTTACATATTTCCAGGAAAAGCACCATTCACACATCCATTCCAAAATACATTTAAATTCTCTGACAACGTTAAAATGACCTCTAAACGGCTGCACTTGCATTTGTACACAGGCTCATGGTTTTATTTTGTTTCATACTTTTGCTGTTTTAGTCCCAGAAACAAACCAAAATACTGAACTGTAAGAGAAAAATGTTGTCGCTTACATCTGAAGGACAACTGAAACAGTTATTTTTGCATATATAGCTATCAGGATTTCTGTGCAATGGACATTGGCAATTGTGCAGATTAATGGAAAAGTGCTTTCTTATGAAAAGAGAATGGAACACTTCTGCATGTTGAGCATTATGTTTGAATATGTGCTGCAGTTTGTAAAACCCTCTTTGGAATAAAAGACTCAAATCGAATATCAAATCACACTCCCCTTCAGTACACATGCGTCACAGAGTCCAACACAGTTCTTGTAGATAAAAATCACAGGGATTTATCATGAGCATTTTATGATTAACACGCAGCAGCTAAATGTGTCTGGGCAATGGATTAAATATAGTGTAGAGTAAATACATCGTTGGAATCAGAATGAATTGGCCAGAGTAGACGTCCTATTGCATTCTGATCATGTATATGCTCATACCAGTAATTTCCTTTTGTGTTCACACAGCAGAATTCTGTCAATTTACTGATAATGTTAGAGCTTCTCATTTTGGAAAACTATTGGAAGGAATATATTCATTCATTCTGTCATTTTCCTTCGACTTAGTCCCTTTATTCATCAGGGGTCATCACAGCGAACACATCCAGCATGTTTTGCACAGCGGATGTCCTTCCAGCAGCAATCCAATACGGTGAACAATCCATACACACTTATTCACACACATACACTACGGCCAATTTAGTTTATTCAATTCACCTATAGTGCATGTCTTTGGACTGTGAGGAAAACTGAAACACCTGGAGGTTCCCCACGCAAACACGGGGAGAACATGCAAACTCTTCACAGAAACGCCAACTGACCCAGCGAACCAGCAACCTTCTTGCTGTGAGGCAACAGTGCTAACCGTTGAGCCACTGTGTCGACCCCTAGAAATATATACAATACTGTTTACAGTCTGTATTTGTGAAAGGGGCTAATGGGGTCTAGATTTGCTGCTTTGAACCCCACCGACCTACATCATATAGACAAAAACGGCTAAAACATAATTCATAATATCTTCTTTTGTTTTTCCAGTGTTGGGTTGCGGCTTGAAGGGCATCTGCTGTGTAAAATATATGCTGGATAAGTTGGCGGTTCATTTCGCTGTGGCGACCCCTGATTAATAAAGAGACTAAGCTGAAAAGAAAATGAATGAATGAATCTTCTTTTGTGCTTTCATAAAAAGTTTAGAATGACATGAGGCTTATTCGTTTTACACAACCATTAGCTGAATTATTTTTCAAAGTGTACAAAAATGGCTATTTTCTAATGCATATTCCTTTTTCTCAATCTTCAGGAGCACCCATGACCTGGTCGCCATGGACGGATGGCTATACGCAGTCGGAGGAAACGATGGCAGCTCTAGCCTCAATTCCATAGAAAAGTACAACCCTCGTAGCAACAAGTGGGTGGCAGCGTCATGCATGTTCACACGCCGTAGCAGCGTTGGAGTCGCTGTTCTGGAGCTCCTCAACTTTCCTCCTCCATCCTCTCCCACTCTTTCCGTCTCCTCCACTAGTCTTTGACAAAGGGTAAAAACCCGGCTTAGCTCAAGCGGCCTGCCTTGTGTGGCCAAGAGGCGCAACTGCTCGGTTTGAGCACCAAACGAGGAGTGTTTTGTGGGCCACAGCGCCCTCCCTCTGCCTGGAGGATTACTGCAGATGGTTAAAAAAAGGATGAAAAGGAAAAATCACACTCTTACACGCCTCCACGACTGTCACCCTGTAAACCCTAGTGCTTGAAAGTGCAAAGTCATGTTGCTCTGCCATTTTGCGGTCACTTTGTGTAAAATATATACCTAAATGTACATTTAATTTATGTTTACATTTTTCTTTTTGAAGAAATAATATATTAAACACGAAAAAAAAAAACAACTTTAGGAATGTAGCTCTCGACAGGTTCTGCCATGCATGTTTACAAAAATTTCGTCCTGGCAGAAAATAATATTGTAGTGCTGCTGTGCCACACTAGGTGGCAGTAACGTGCAATGCTGCCCTTTCTCACCACAGACGCGCATGGACATTTTAGAAGCAGAAAATTCTCACAGAAACATGCGAATTCTACACTACGTACACCTGAGTGTGCTCAGATCATGTTGACAACATAATATATGTTTTATGTATTTTAATATTTATTTATCAATTGTAATATAAACATATGACACTATTTCAGAGATGTTTGAAGGACCACCTCTGACTGAAGAGGAGATATATAGTTTTCACATACAAATGAACATACTTATTGCATATCAGAGAAGCACTGGTGTTTGGTATGAAATGTGGGAGAAGAGGTGTTTAGTGTTTTATCTAAGAGACATGCTCGGTTTGTTTTCTAAAGTCATGTATTACAAGCCTTTTAGAGTTTGGGACTCTACTAATATGACACGTCTATTTCACTAACCAGGAGAAATGTCAAACCAAGACTATATAGCCATACTTAAAAAAAACTAGCTGTGACATTAAAGCTGCACTTTCTCTTTTTTTGTGGTTTAAAACGGGCGATTGGTGCTCAGAACTAATCCTGATTAAGTGATTAGTAATACTGACACTTCAAAATAAAGCCCTTCAATGTGAGTAACTCGGATACTATAAGCTCCTGTATGTTGTACGTCACAGTATTTTTGCTTTAAGTCTTTAGTTACGTTTCCAAGGTTGATCACATTGTCATTGTATATTGCATTTTATAACTTTTATTGCTCATTTGCCAGGGTTGTCAGCTTTGACAGCTTGATCAGATCTAGATGGTATGTGTTGTGCAGTGATGTCATTGGTAATAGCCACTACTAATGCATCTTACTTCAGATGGGAAGTTGAGTGAACACTGGGTTTGGTGAGTGATTGTTTTTAACTGATGAGAGCGCGGAGAACAAGGGATTTTTCACACAAAAATTAAAATGTATTTATTTATTTATTTTAATTACTTTTCGCTACGTTGTCCCGAACATGTACGACATTGTTTATGAACACAACTGATATTAGAAGAAAGCCTAAGCTGTTATGGTTAAACAGTTAATGGGGGTCAGTCGTATGGGAAAGGATCAGCTTGAACATTCTGCTAAATATCTTTTATATTTTACAGGAAAAAGTCATATATGGTTTGGAAGAAGGTTTAATTTTTGTGTGATCGATCCTTTAAATTCAGTTCTGCTCTCTGCCATTTTACTTAGGTTTTAAAATGTAGTATTATATGATTTCAAAACTTCTGAGAAGTTAGGATTTTATTTCCTTTTTTTTAAGGACTTTGTTAATTCAGAGAAACGTGTTTAAGGTCAGTATGAGTTTGCGTCCAGGGAGATCAGAGTGCTCTGTATGTGTGTTTCTGTAGAAGTGGAACATCCTGCACTTTGACAATGACTGAATATATACATGCATAACACACACCGCAGGACCACATCCCCACAGAAATCAATTACAGTATGTATATAACCAAATATCCTGAAACTTTGTGCAATGTCTATGTAATCGTGGCTTTTTTTCTTTTGTCCTTTTTTCCCCCGATCGTAATGTTGTTGAATGTGTTATTTATATTGTGTTGGTTATGTTTTGCTATATTTAAAAACAAACATGAATTTTTGCACTACAGTCAAATGGAGCAATATACTGCTGTTTAAAATGAAAACACACTACTGTAAATGAAATAAAGCTGTTTTCATGTGGAATGTGTGTATCATTTGAACCAACAGCCACAAGTACTACTGAATGAACAAACTAAAGAACTCTGACTAAAGAACAAGCTGGAAAGCAAGCAAGCTGGATGCAGCTACAATTCTTAAAAGTCCCATGAAATTAAAATCAAGTTTTTAAGAAGTTAGTATCAGTATTTTTAGTTTTTAGCCTATCTATAAGCTAGCGTAAAAAAAATTTGCATTTACAAGATATGAAACCGATATAAACGTGTAAAGCTTGTAGTTTGTCACTTCCACCTAAATGGACCAACAGTTTTATTCACGTCACCTCATACTTGAATTTTTCCCATCAAATCTTGACCAATCAAATGCTCTCTAGTATCTGACATGGCCCGCCCCTTCACGACACAAGTCACATATGATGCGCTTAAGCTCAACCACTCTCACTGGCAGAGCAGTGATAAAACAAAACACTATTAGTGGTTTTTTTTTTAAATGAGGAGGAGCTACACCAAAGTTCCTTTAAGGCAAGTAATTTCACTCGGCGGCCATCTTTGGAAGAACTCTCGGGCAGTATGCTCGGGCATTCTGTCTGAATGGGGGAAACATCAAATTCTCCAAAACCGCTTGCTAAGCTTACCATTAAATTTCATATAAGGAATGACCAATAAAATTAAACAACAATTGTCTCTTTAGTTGCATTTCTACACACCCAAATCACACAAAATCTGCAAAAACGCGCGTCTGGTCCAAGCCCCTCCCCGAGAGTATTGTCAGTCTATTGACCTTATTCTAAAATGCGGAAGTGCGCCTTTTTTCGCGATTGTCTTAGAACTTCCGATTCAGTCGCCTGAGGGAGAAATGACTAGGAATAATAAACGGCAGAAAATGGCCAAACTACTTGCTCAACAAACAAATGTTTGCATGACTACACAGACCAAGTAGCATAATATAATAAGAAAATATTAAATTGCAGCATCAAGTAGCGTAACGAGCAGTTGTTAACGTCAAAAAATTAATGGAAGTGAATGTGACCGGAAGTCGCGAGACAAAAAGATTAAAATGGCAGCGCCCACTCGTCGGCGGAGAATAAGGTGAATAGTGATCAATGATTGGCTCCTGTAATAGAAGGCAGGCTTTATTCACCATATAGCGATCGATGATTGGCTCCTGTACTAGTAAATGGCGCTTTATTCACCACATTGACCATTACCGCACCACGTCTACCAATTACGTTAATCCTCTTTGCCACTGAAAGCATTAGGCTACTACAACCAGTCTAAGAGCTGCCACCATGTCAACTGATAAAAATGCATTCCATTGCTGGAAATTTTAAATTCAGGGCACCAAACTCCTCTGGCCGAAGCGATTTTATCACATTGTTGGGTAGTAGCATTGCTACAAGCGTGGCAGTAGCGTCACTACTTTATAAATCAAATAGTTTTTCAGTAGCAAAGTTATTTTATTAGTTAAGTAGCGCAGTAGCGTCCTTACAAGCTACATTTACCGATTGAGATCAAAAAGTGACGGCACCAACATTTACAGAGCTGTGAGGCCGGTGTTTATCTGATGAAAGTTAATCCATATGATGGCGAGAATGATGATTTTTTCTTCCTCCTGTTTTACAGTGGTCGACAACAAACTTTTGGTGCGTTACTGCCACCTCCCACTCTGGTCGGTGATGTCGCCAACCAATTAGGCTAACGGGAAATTTGCTTTGCTTGATGAAAAGATGAGGGAGAGGAAGTCTAAAAATATAGTTTACTATAATAAAGGCTGAAGTATACTATGGTAATTACTATTAGTTCATGATAGTTATTAATAATACTACATTATGTAGTGTTATTTACTAATGAAGAGTTGTAAATATATATATACAATAAAATGCTTATTCCTAAATATTTCTCTTCACTATAAATTACTATAGTATTTAAAATGTGTAATACTTGTTTTTTTTGTGGATTTTTTTGTGTTTGCTGTTACATACTATCATTTGTTTCTGTTTGGTACAGCATTAATTGCAGAAATATTTGAACTGAACAATTATCCCCAATATGTCTCGTTGACAGTTTTATTGATCACTAAGGTCTGATTGATTTGGATTTACGTTGCTTGACGATTTACGATTTTGAAATTCTAACAGTAAACAGAGCTACTGTAAGGTCACACCTGCTTGGTATAAATGCTTGAAAATGATTTAGTTGAAAATATCCATTAGAAACTTAAAATTAATCAAAAGCAGATGTAATCAGTTACTTTACTTTTAATAAGTAATTGAAAAGGTACACTACTTATTACTTTTTAAATAGGGTAATTTGTAATCTGTAATCTATTACATTTCCAAAGTAACCTCCCTAACACTGGATACAATTGACATGTCTAGTGTATTCTATAGTCTTTGGCTACACTATGTCCTATCTTCTCTTTATTTCAGTTTTATTTCCATTTTGGTTGGGATTATGTCAAACATCCAATAAAAATACATATTTCAAAGCATTTCATAGGGCCTTTAAGTTTCAATTTGAGTTTGTTCTAAGTATCTTAGTTTGTTCTCACAAATGTGGGGTGACTATAGAGTTTTAAGTGGAATACGGGACAAAACTATATTACTACAAAACTCATTGAAAAATACATATTTAAAAGGCGGTGATCATAAAATGTGTTTTTAAGTATTTACTCACTGCTCAATTAGACATCACTTGCAAGATAAACAACTATTTTACTATTGTCACCATCTACCCACCTTCCACTTTTCAGTTTCTTACTACTGCTAAATGCAAAATATTTCTTAAAGAAGGTTGGAAACTGGTAGCCCCTGACCTCCATAGTATATATTTGTCTAGCGATGGAAGTCCCTGGTAACTGGTTCCCAGCAGTCAGTGGCTGAATTGTTTTGTGTTCAACAGAAGAAAAAAAAACATTGGTTTGAACAGTTAAACGGTTTGAAACCACTTGAGGGTGAAAAAACGGTGAGTAAATGAAATTTTCATGTAAACAATGGTTTGTCACTCAAGTTACAGGTGTCAAACTCTGCTCCCCAAGGGCCACAGAGCTAAAACAGTTTAGCTTTAACCCTAATTAAACACACCTGATCAAACTAATCGAGTCCTTCAGGCTTGTTTGAAACCTACAGATAAGTGTGTTGAAGCAGGGTTGGAACTAAACTGTGTAGGTTCTGCAGCCCTTCAGGAACACCCCTGCATTAAGTAGTAATGTTAACTAGTGACTTATTACTTGCCTATTATAAGATATTGTCTGTTAATTTGTACTGAAGAAGTACATATACTGCATGGTCTTTCTAATTCTAGACTCAAAAAATCATTTTTGCTGCTTGTTCAAACTACCTATTTAACACGAGTTGAAACAAAACAATTTTGCAGGACAACTTAATAGTTTTAAGTTCAATCTACTTAAATTTGTAAAAAAAAAAAATATTAGGTTATTGTAACTTAATCGATTTGTTGACAATGTTGTTGTTCAATGTAAATCCCTAATCCTACCCAATACCTAAACCTAACTACCTAACTAATTTTAATAAGCAAAAAAGAAGGAGTTTGAGGCAAATGTTATAGCTAATGGTTTGTTAATAGCAAGAAATGTACCTAAAACAAATTGTGGATAAAATGTAATATGTGGTTTATTGCATTCATTCAGCTAAATGCTCATTATTATTTCTCGCTAACTATTGAGTTTTAGGTGGCTTTCTATGGCCATTTCTTTCTATGCTGGATACACTTCAGTAAGCTTTACTGTTCAACACAGCTTCTAATGATCATATTTTTATCTTGCTATTACAATAGTAAATTGATTTTTTGTCTTGGTTTTTGACTTCATCTCTTCTGCGTTCTCTATTCACTGACAGTAACACCGAATGGGCAGCCCAGATACCACCTTCACTCACTGAAAGCCAATTCATGTAGAAATGTGATTGGATGGTCATCAAAATATACTATGACAAGACTGGATACCAGTAATTAAAGGGATGAAAATTACCTCAGCATTTATTCTGCCTCATGTGGTTTAAAATTCTTACGAGTTTCTTTCTTCTTTTGAACACTAAATAATATATTTGAAGAATGCTGGTTCCTGGCACCCATCAACTTCCATAGAAAGAAAAAAAATACTATGGAAGTCAATAGGTGCCAGAAACCAGCATTATAATTTCTTAATAAGAAAGAAACTGAAAGGTTTTGAACAAGTGTGAGTAAATGGTGACAGAATTTTCATTTTGAGGTGAACTATCCCTTTAAGGTATTTTCATTTGACAAGTCTACTAGTAGTGATCAGCAACGAAGATATTTTATGAAAGATGACACACAAAACATGACTTTTTCAAGACACTAATAATCTAGCTCAAATACGGGACTGTCCCGGAGGGGGAAAAATGACATCTGATCACCCTACTAAAGCTGTGGATTTACAGTCCTGGTATAAATGATGATCGATGTCTGAATTTGACATCTGAGAAGTGACTGATGGTCTGACCCATGTCAGGAGTGAATAGTAACAGTGTTTATTCCTTAAACCAGATTTGCAGAGAATAATTCTGCACTTGTTTATAATTACTTCAATTCATCATTCAGTACATTTCCCAAGCCAAATGGTTTGCTTTATTTAAAATTCCCGTCAGTTTGCTGTGTACAGTATGTAATGTTCTGTTCCAGTGATAATCTGAAGCTCAACCCTAGAGGAAAAAAAGATATCTCCAACAGTGTTTGCTAGGGTTGTTATTGTACAAGAGGCATGTGACCATGCGTGAGTGGATGAGCTGTATTGATATTTCAAGTTGCTCCCAAAAGTTGTTCCCAAAAGCCCCAAAGTACTCTAAACACTGTACAAAATGCAGGGTTCTACACAATTCATTCATGTTGTCCCAACACAAATTGATTAAGTTAACTTAACACTTTTATCAAATTTGTGGATTGAACAAAAAAATTAAGTTGTCCCAATGAAATGTCAAGAATTGTGTTGTTTCAGCTCATTTTAAATAATTAATTTAGTTGAGCAAAAACAAATATTTTTTTGAGTGAAAG